ACGATCCTCAGCAGTCATACCGCCATACACGGAGGGGTAGGCAGTTGCGGCGCCCAAGTGGAACCCAGAGAATTCAGAGGGGGAGGAGGAGGATGAGGTCAGATGTTCGGTCAGTGAGGACGTCATGTGCGGGTAGGTGGTAGCCGGAACAGCACACTGCGAGGCATTCTGATGGTGCTGGTGGTGTTGGTGCTGGTAAAAGCCCTCTGGTGGGAAGGTGTGCTGAGGAACACCGCCAGGAGAGAACTCGGACGGACGTTGGGAACTGAGTTCGTAGAAGGAGGAGTAAGTTGGCGGGGGGTAGAAGAGTTGATCGCCTCCAGCGGCGTCGGTATTAACTGAACCGAAATCGCCACCCTTCGCAACCAGTTGACTGACGAGAGTTTGCAGAGGCATGGTGTGCAGTGGGGAGACATCGCGGAGGGTAGACTGAGAAGGGGTATACTTGGCATCCTCTGAGGGTGAGAAGACTGCCCGATGTTGGTTATGTGGTTGCTGCTGCTGCGATTGGTGCTGGTGTTGCACGTCGTAGCCCATCAGTTGGGCATAGTCAAGAGCACCGGCAGGTGGGGGAGGCGGGTGTGGATAGGTCGCCGCTGGAGAGGGCGACAGGGGGGCGGCAGAGACGGCGTCAGGGTAACCGTAGGAGTTCGCAGTGACCGTGGCTGCCGGGCTGGCATGATGTTGGGAGATGGCGCCGCAGGAGGTTCGCGAAACAACAATACTGCTCGAGTGACCACCACTGCTGGCGCTACTACAGCTGCCGTTGTTGTCCGCTCGAATGGACGTCAGCGAGTTCTGTAGCAGCTGCTGCTGCTGTTGCTGCTGCTGTTTCGCTGGCTCACAGTAGTCACCAATCATTTGGACAGAAGAAGGATGGACAAGAGTCCGTGTTTCTCCCGTGGGGTGGTGGCGACAGCGATGGCAGGTTTCAGATAGAAGCAGGCCTTGGGATCGGCAGCGCAGCGCACAAGTTGAACGACAATTGTTACCGGCTGTCGCGTCAAATGCTTTGCCTCCGCATACAACCGCACACACGTACAGCTGCACTCACACACACACTCAGAGGGACAGTTGCAGCAGTCGTCACTGTAGGTAAAGCAGCGTCTTAATTTTTTCGCCCCCAATACCTGCTGTTGCAAACTGGACTTTTCTCTGTATGCGCTGGCGCGCCTGTGGACCTCAGTAATTGTATTGCACACACACGCACTTGTCGTTGCAGCACCAACTGCTACACGCTGTTCAATTTTAACAAAACTGGCAGGAGCCCTCGTGAAGAAGGACGAAGTAGCAGCCGTGGGGAGGATAGCAGCTGTCGCTCCCAGCGTGCGTGCGTGCTAGCCGCTCACACTCGGGCTCGCATTCGATCGGTCGTCACGCGCGTGCAGTCTGCCTATTACTGATTGGCTAGTAGGCGCACTTTGCGGCTGCGACGTGCAATCTGCGCCATTCACAGGCAGGTAGCAAGGCCATTGGACGCGGCGGCTCCTAGTGGTGGTGGGGGACAGATGCGCGACTAAGCGCACGAGCAAGAGAGAGGCAGGATTTGGCGCATTTTTGTCGAGCGGCTGCAGCTGCGCCAGGCGCGCTCCTCCAAAGTACCTGAACCCTCTAATTCCGCACGAACCACGATTCAGCTGATGCAGTGTCGACTGTGAAAGGAGGCGCAGCTGTTGTTGGTGACTGAGAAACGGCCGTCTGCTTTTGCACTGGGCAGATCAATATCATCTACAAAATGGGCACTTGGGAGAGCTGCAAAAAGGCATTGGACCGGAAGATTAACAACTGACACCTTCATTAGGGGAAGGAAGAGTGTGGGAACTCTGCGGACAGAAAGCTAGGAGGAAGGGGTGCTTCAGTAGACCATCAGGTGTAATTTTGATTGGACTTTTCGTTCCCATACGCATGTGCGTGCATGTATACATGAAGGCATACACACGCGCTTGCCAGGAAGGGAAGATCTCGATCACTTTCAGTCAGAGTGTAGACAACCGGAGTGAACTGGGAGACTGCACATTTTTCCAACCGGCTTACCCACCATGGGAATCGCTTCAGTAGCGTGTAACGCCTATTTGGTCACCTAAAAGGCAGGCAAAGGGGAACATTTTACGTAGGTCCGTATCAGATGCATGACGTACGCGAAAACTTTCCCCTTATCGACTTCCATGTTTTGATTGGGCGTCGCAGCTAATACCTGTAATTGGTGGATTTGAAAGTACCTACGCGGCTAGCAGACGTAATGACTCCCAGAGCTGTCTATGTCGGCAAAGTCCAATCGAATAATTCATGCAGTCGGTGAATAATTTCACTACAATGGACTTGGCAATTCATAGAATGGCAACACGAGCTCTGTGGGGTTATTTTAGCAACAAAATGGCTTCGAGTGGTGTAGGCTCGTTGCACCTTGTTCAGTTACCCTCTAGGGTGCAACCAGATGAACGCTCATGTGGACAAAACTGGAGGAAGC